GCCGGGAGCGGCCACTGCACTCCAGTCTGGGAGACAGAGTGAGACTGCAACTCAAAAAAAAAAAAAAGAATGCTCCCTCGCCATTTCCTCCAAGTGAGGACACAGACACAAAGCAGTTTATGACCAGGAAGTGGGCCCTCACCAGAACCAGACCATAATGCACGCTGATCTCAGACTTAACAGCCTCCAGAACTGTGAGAAATAAATTTCTGTTGATAAGCTGTCCACTTTGTGATATTTTGTTATAACAGCCCAAATAGATGAAGACATTATCTTAGTATAAATTTGCAGCAGTGAGGCTACCTGGGCAAAAGACAAAGACATATGGTTGGATGTGGTGAGGGCTCACACCTGTAATCCCAGCACTGTGGGAGGCGAGAGGATTGCCTGAGCCCGGTGGTTCGAGACCAGCCTGGTCAACTTGGTGAGAGCTCGTCTCTACGATAAATCAAAAATTAGCCAGGCATGGTGGTGCAGGCTGATAGTTCTAGCTATTTGAAAGGCTGAGGCAGAAGGATCAGCTGAGCCCAGCAGGTCAAGGATGTGGTGGCCATGAGGATATGGTGGCCATGAGTGTGTCACTGCACTTCAGCCTGGGCGGCAGATTCTTGGTATCCTATTGTTCCCCAATAGGATTTTACCAGTTTACACTGACAACAGTTTAATTTTATTTAAACAATTTTTTAGTTGATTAACCAGATACAAAAAGTCATTTATCTCATTATTTAACTCCCATTTCTTTTCTTTTTTCTTTTTTGAGTCAGAGTCTCATTCTGTCACCCAGGCTGGAGTGCAGCGGCATGCTCACAGCTACCGTAGCCTCGACTTGCTGGGCTCAGGTGATCCTTCCACCTCAGACTTCCAAGTAGCTGAAACCACAGGCACACACCACCACACCCAGCTGGTTTTTTGATTAACTGTAGAGACAGGGTCTTGCCAAATTGTCCAGGCTGATCTCCAACCCCTGGGCTCAGGCAATCCTCTCACCTCTGCCTCCCAAAGTGCTGGGGTTACAGGTGTGAGCCACCATGCCCGGCAATTCCCATTTCTTTTATCACCATCAGGAACAGCTTTCCAGGTTTGCTTACTAACTGGAATGCCTGTTACTAAGGGGTTAGACCTAGACAGGGTTCATCCTCTTCTTTGTCTTTTAATGTTTTGCCTTGTGTTCTGGGAGATTTATTTCCCAAGCTTTCTATCTAACTTTTCATTTTGGAGATAACCTTAATTTTCAAGAACTCTTGTTTGTTCTCTGGCAGTTCTTTTTTTCAAAACTGAGGTTTAGGGCAAGCCCTTCGGGTCCCCTCCCACTGTGGGAGTTTTTCTGTCCTCTCAATAAATCCTGCTTTAAAAAAAAAAACTGAGGCCGGGTTCAGTGGCTCAGCCTGTAATCCCAGCATTTTGGGAGACCAAGGCGAGTGGATTGCCTGAGCCCGCGCTTTCAAGACCCATCCAGGGAATTTAGTGAGACCTCGTCTCTACAATAAATAAAAAATTAGCCGAGTGTGGCAGCTCACACCTGTAGTTCCAGCTACTTGGAAGGCTGAGGCGGAAGGATTGCCAGAGCCCAGCAGGTTGAGGCTGCGGTGGCCAGGAGTGTGCCACTGCACTCCAGCCTGGGAAATGGTGTGAGACTACAACTCAAAAAAAACCCCTGAGGTATAACTTATAGTACATGGCACACATCTTAAGTGTACAGCTTAATGAGTTTTAATAAATGTATACCTACAAGTATAATCACCACCCAAATCAAAACAGACCATTCCCATCTACCCAAAGGTTCCCCTCTGTCAAATGACCAAGCAGTCCCTAAACATAGCTTGGTGGCTAACAGAGCCACAAGGATCCTACCACGGCTGCTAGGTGGGCCTGCCACACTTCCATGGACTCAACCAGTTAGGAGATAGCAAGCCCAGATAAGTCCATAGAGCTTATTGCAGCTTATTACTTGCAGACAACAAAGGCAAGACCAATATTATGTCAACTTCTAGCATCCCCATTCCACAGGGTGACACTGAATTAGAGAGACTATGGTAGTAGGTCACTCTGCAGCTCAGGAGCCAAGCGGTGTTATTGCCTGCAGCTGCTCTCTATGGGAGACGGGGGGACCAGGTGGAAAGCCTTGCATTCAGCTGAAACTAGGAAGAGGGATGAGAAATGGCCTGTGATGATCTCCCACAGAGCAGAGCGGCTCCCTCTAAGCTGCCAACCTCCCATTGCTCCAGGAAGAATCCTAGAGGATTATCCAGCACTTGGTCCAGTCTTGCCTACGTGGCCTATAGGGAGCCATGCAAGGTCATCAGAGTACTGTGTTGTGGCTGTCTGTCCCTTACAACTCCAACCCCTGCCACTCAAACCTTTCGTATGTGCAGCTAAAAATTATTTTTAGGAGCATAAGCCATTCTACTAGATAGCCTAATTAATTGCACTGATGGGAACTTAAGTAAAATCCTTTCTTTGTTTTAGAGACATTGTCATATTCTGTCATCCAGAGTGTGATCATAGCTCACTGCAGCCTTGAAATCCTGGTGCAGGTGATTCTCCCACTACCGCCTTCCAAGTAGTTAGGACTACAGGGGTGTGCCACCCAGCTAATTTTAAAAAATTTTTGTAGTGAAGGGGTCTCACTATGTTTCCCCAGGCTGGTCTCAAATACCTGGCCTCAAGTCATTCTCCCATCTTAGTTTCCCAAAATGCTGGGATTATAGGTGTGAGCCACCGTACCCAACCTGCAAATCATTTATTTATTTATTTACCATCCCAAATAGTTATATATTTTAGCTATGAAGATCAGTCACCAAAGCCAAACTTGCTGTTCTTTTTTGGTCAAAGTCTCATTCTGTGGCCCAGGCTGGAGTGCAGTGGCATGCTCACGGCTACCACAACCTCAATCTGTTGGGCTCAGGCCATCCTTCCACCTCAGTCTTCCAAGTAGCTAGAACTATGTTTTATTTTTTGGTTTTTGTGTTTTTGGAGTCAGAGTCTCACTCTGTCACCCAGGCTGGAGTGCAATGGCACGTTCATAGCCACCGTAGCCTCGACCTGCTGGGCTCAGGCGATCCTTCAGCCTCAGTCTTCCAAGTTGCTGGAACTACAGGCCCGCACCACCATGTCCAGCTAATTTTTAAATTAATTGTAGAGACGAAGTCTTGCCAAGTTGCCCAGGCTGGTCTCGAACCCCTGAGCTCAGGCCATCTTCTTGCCTCTGCCTTCCAAAGTCCTGGGATTACAGGCCTGAACCACTCCACCCGACAAAACTTGTTCTTTTTTTTTTTTTGAGTTGGAGTCTCACTCTGTTGGCCAGACTGGAGTGCAGTGGCCGCTCCCGGCCACCGCAACCTCGACCCGCTGGGCTCCAGCGATCCTTCCGC